AATCAGACAGTGACAGGCAGAGAGAGAAGAAAAACAGAGTCAAGGATACAAGGAAAAAAAGGAAAAGAGAAGAGCCCATTCTTCTCTGTCTCTCTTCCCAATCATCCATCTCTTTTGGAAAACAACAACAACAAAAACCAACCACAAACAAGCAAAACCCAAAAAATTACAAACAAACAAATCATGGAAACTCCAAATGGAATTAATATTCACTTTGCTGTAGTGGGAATGAGTGACCTGGGACTTCGATTTCAATGAGTACATGGAGAAAGGATGGAGGTTATACAGACACAGAAACATCTAGCACCTCTCTAATAGCCTTCTGCCTGTTCTATATCCTTTCTCCAGTTGGCTTGAGAATTATCCACACAGTAAAGAAGAAGAAATTGATAGGGCGCCTGGGTAGCTCACTCAGTTAAGCCTCTGCCTTCAGCTCAGGTCATGATCTCAGGGTCCTAGGATCAGGTCCTGCATTGGGCTCCCAGCTCAGTGGAAAGTCTGCTTCTCCCTCTCCCTCTGTCTGCTGCTCCCCTTGCTTGTGCTCTCTTTCTAATAAATAAATAAAATCTTTTTTAAAAATTAAAAAAAAAAGAAGAAATTGAATCTAATGAGGCAAAAACTTCTGAACCAGAGGACGGAAACTGGCCAGCTCCATGCCTTCTCTTCTCCCCTCAAAACCCAAAGGACATCCTTCAAGGAAAACAAGGACTCTTCCTTCTTTTCCTTGCTCAGAATACTCTCCAACCTGAGAAATACCCCCATCTTCCAAGTCTGAACCCATCCCACTTGTTCAGGGACGGAGTTTCATTCACTTCTATTATTTGGGCATACAGCACAGGACCTGCTACACAAAAGTTATCAGTAAGTGTCCCTTAAATGAACAAATATACACTGATTCTACACATATAAGTATATACACACAAACATATGTATTTACACACAAACATATATATATGTATATTTACTGCTTATATTGCATGAACTTTTATAAGGTTTGTACACAGTACTAAACAAAAATGTTCTAGTAATTTCCCTCTAGATCTACTCTCAGCAGTGTTCTCAAACACACTGATGTCATCATCATCCAAACTATTCACTCAGCATAAACTCTCTCATCTAATCAGAAAGGCCTGTTGATTTTATCTCCTAAGTGTCTCCTAATTTAACCCTCACATCATGCAGCTACATGCCAAAAGAAAAGTTGGAATGGTTTCCCTACTCTTTTCTATCCCCCACATTGTTGCCAGTATCCTTTCCAATCAAGTCACATTCTTCATGAAACACCTTCAAGAGAAATCCATAAGGAAATAACTCCCCATTTCCTTCAGAATTAAAATCCAACTTTCTACTTTGGTGTTGGGAACGTTCCCAATTACACCCAACCCACCTACCAATAGTCATTTCCTACCGTTCTCCCTCTGCATCTTTAACCACATCAAATTTGTCAACAATCCCTAAACCCTCATTTTTCTCTTCCATCAGGCCTCTTTCCATGGACATTTCCATTTACTCCCCACCCTCCTTCCACCCCCACTTCTCCACATCTAGATATGGGAAGACTCAGCTCAAATTACATCTTGTTCCTCAACCTCATACTCATCCTTAGGGAGAGTTAGTCATTCCTGTCTCTGGGTTTCCAATATACATGAAACAAGTATTTATTATAGCTCATATCATAGCATGTGGTAATTATTTAAGTATCTTTCTTCTCCATTAGACCATGAGCTATACAGCTATTGACACTGCCTTATTGATGTTTGAAAATATCCCAGGACTTATCACACAGAACCTGTGTGTAGTAGGAACCTGATAAATACATGAAAAATTAATAAACATACCTTTCTGTGCTTTAATTAGTTGCTTTCCAATTTCTAGTGTCACATAGGCAGTACCATTTAGAACTATGTCAGTTATGGTCTTCCAAGCATTAGGAGAGAGTCTTTCGGTGGGAGAAATAAAATTCCCTGCCGCATTGTTTATCACAATCTAATAAATGAATAAGGCAAGTTACAGAAATTTTTAGATAAGGAATAACATTTTCCCTGAAGAGTTTTTACTTCTGAAACTTATTATTCCAAATAATACAATAAAGCTAAAGCTGATAGTCTGCTATAAAATAATACCATCAGATTTGGTTTGGTTTTACTTTTTTTGAGCCTGTGAAAATCTCCTGTGTTATTTACCAAATTTCAGAATCCTAATCCCTGTCAATAGTAGGGTAGAATCTATCATTACGAAAACAAATACAGATTAAGCATATCTACCATCTGTCTCTACTATATTTCAAGGATTCTCAAAATGTCGTTCAATTTCTGGTGATATTTTGGCTTAATTTACCCAATGAAGTTCTTGGTTGATAACACATTTCTTCACTATCAAAAAAGATTCTACCTAGTTCTATTAGCAGATTCAATATTATTGGTCTGTCTGAAAATACCTTTAACCTAGAACAGTGCTCTGAGACTACCAGAGGAAATGACTTCTTTCTGATACATGAACCAAAAAACAGCAAAATACCCATGCACATCTCAAGTCTTAAAAAGAAAAATTTGGAGTATCTTGTAGATTTCTTTACTTGAATCATTCTCCTCTACTGATAGAGATAATCAAAAGTTATTAGGAAAGGCAAAGAGCATGAATCATTTAAACTAGATATTGTGCTCTTGGATAACTGCTCTTCTTATTTCATGATCTTATTAAAGAAAATGAAATCAAGTTTGACTGCAAATGCATTTTTAAAGTATTTCCGAAAGGCAATGGTGTAGCAGTTCACCTAATCTGTTCCCTGCTCTGACCAGAGCTGGATCTTTCCTAGGGACAGAAAATAGGTGCTTCTCAACACAGCATCTGCTCACATCAGTATTTTATTTCCTTAGTGCATCCTCAGCACATCTTGGTGGGTGTCATCAATGTCAAAGACTCCATACTTTGGCCTCATCACCATTACACTTACATCAGGATGTCCTGCAACTCTGATCAATTCTGACACAGTGTTTTGCACCATTTCAGGATTCCTCACATCACACTGAAGCGCATGAACCTGAAAAATATCAGAGAAAAAAAGGAATCCTCAATTTTTTAGACTTCTTAAACCAAAAACATGAATAAGTTACTTAAGCATATTTTAATTCCTTAAATCTAAATTAAATAACTCTTTTTAATATACCTTATTTCCAGTTTGAGAAGAAATTTGTTCTGCAGTCTCTTTTAAAACATCAATCTTCCTAGAAATAAACACATGGTACTTCACATGAGTTCTGAAATGACTTCATATTATTTTTTCTTTTTAATTCCATAAATTAAAAAACAAAGAGTATCTATAGCTTAAACAGAGGCAATCTTGACAAAATACAAAAGCTGTATCTACAAACAAATCAGTTTGAATGAATTCACTTTCTACAAGTTAAATTAGTACAATTTTTATATATCTAATACTCAATTACTGAATTATTTACTTTTAAACTAGTTGTTTTTTATCTACACACATATTTAAACTTATTTCTGTAGTACAAAAATACTGATTCAAAGGGGTACATGCACCCTGATGTTTATAACAGCATTATCAACAATAGCCAAATTATGGAAAGAGCCCAAATGTCCATCAACTGATAATGGATAAAGAAAATGCAGTGTGTGTATACACACACACACACACACACACACACACACACATATTTATGTGGATAAAGAATGGATATAGATAGATAGATAGATAGATAGATATCTATATACATATATGAATGGATAAAGAAGGAGTGTCTTGATGGAATATTACTCAGCCATCAAAAAAGAATGAAATCTTACCATTTGCAGCAGTGTGGATGGAGCTAGAAAGTATTATGCTAAGGGAAATAAGTCAGTCAAAGAAAGACAAATACCATATGATTTCACTCATGTTGAATTTAAGCAACAAAACAGATGAATATAGGGGAGGGGAAAAAAAGAGAGAGGGAGGCAAATCATAAGAGACCCTTAACCACAGAGAACAAACTGAGGGTCACTGGAGGGGAAGTGGTTGGGGAATGGGCTAGATGGGTGATGGGTAGTAAGGAGGGCACTTGTGATGAGCACTGGGTGTTATACGTAAGTGATGGATCACTAAATTTTACTCCACAAACTAATATTACGCTATATGTTAGCTAACTAGAATTTAAATGAAACTTGAAACATGACAAAAATAAAACAAAATTATTTCACTAATTATAATAATTTCTGTTCCCTTGCTCAAGCCTGCTTTAGAAAGAAAACACATTCATGATATAATGTAAACTTCTACTATATAAAATCTGTTACGTATAAAATTTATGTTAGATTTTAGACCGAATTTAAGAATATAAAAGCATCATATGTATTATTTCATACTCTTGAAAGAAACATGAAAAATAAACCATAAACATATATTATGTAGTATTACAAAGAAAATAATATGTTAGGGGTGCCTGGGTGGCTCAGTGGGTTAAAGCCTCTGTCTTCGGCTCAGGTCATGATCCCAGGGTCCTGGGATCAAGCCCCACATCGGGCTCTCCGCTCCAAGGGGAGCCTGCTTCCTCCTCTCTCTGCCTACCTCTCTGCCTGCTTGTGATCTCTGTCTGTCAAATAAATAAATAAAATCTTAAAAAAAAAAAAAGAAAAGAATATTTTAATATTTGTAAAAACATAATATTTTTAAAAAATGTTCTTGCCAATTTGCATTAAAGGAAATATCTGAAAGAAATTCCTTTGGCTCTTTGTAATTCACATAATGACTTGTCATTCAGATTCTTATTCAGCCTATCTAAAAATCTGACACTGTTCAAAATAGGAAGAAGGTGTAGATTTTTTGAACCAGTCTCTGGTCTCTAAAGTTCAGTCTCTGAAGTTCTAGACTTACACAGTTACAGGATCCCAGGATAGGCCTAAATAAGAAATTCCATCTACATGGCCTTATCCTTCCTACATTTACCACAATAGATGTTTTGAAACATCTGCCCGTCTTATAGAAAATGGAAGGATTATATCTATTATCCTAATACAACATTAATTATCCCTTGAAGCAGTAACTATAATCACTCCTAATGAAAGCAGCCTCAATACAGTGCTTTTTAACTTAAGCTTCAGGTACAAGAAAAAAAATTCTAACACTGCATTTGGGAAATGTATATACCATGAGTTCCATAATCAATCATTACTGATCTTCCTCAATCGTACAATGGGGTTACATCCCTGGTAAACCCATTGTAAGTTGAAAATACCATAATGTGAAAATGTATTTAATTATACCTAAGCTACTCAACATCATGGCTTCATCTGGCCTACCTTAAATTAGCCTACAGTTGGGCAAAATCATCTGACACAAAGCCTGTTTTATAATAAAGTGTTGAATCTCTCATGTAAACTTATTGAATACCGTACTGAAAGTGAAAAACAGAAGGGATGTATGAGTACAAAATGACTGTGTTCTTGGTTGTTCACTCTCACAACTGAGCGGCTGACTGGAAGTTGCACTTCACTGCCGGCGTCAAGAAAGAGCATCTTACTGCATATTATCAGCCTGGGAACGGTTCCAAATTCAAAATTTCAAGTACAGTTTCTACCGAATGTGTATCACTTCCACACCATTGTGAAGTCGAAAAATCCTAAACTGAATCAATGGAAATCATGGTCCATCTGTATTTCTATCATTACAAATTATAACTGGTTTTTCCAAGGAGATTTTTTGAAATAATCTAAAGGATATGCCATAGAAAATTAAGACAAAAAACAAAACTCTGACAAATAGTGTTCTCAATATCATGGCACAGAACTGTTCTATAATAGGCTCTTGCCAGGCAACTCGCTGAACATGACTTACCGGCTGGCTATCACACACTGAGCTCCCAGGCTGGACAGAAAAGTGGTCATTCCTTTACCAAGGCCAGTACCTCCCCCAGTAAGAAACGCCACTTTTCCTTGAAAACTATTAGGTGGTAGCATGGCTTTTTGAAGGGGTTGGAAGAATTTAGACTGAAAAGCTTCATTGTTTTGATACAGTATTTTTGTTCCATAACTGAAAAACTGAAAGGGAAAAATAAAGATTAATTGAAATTTTCAAAAATGCATTTCCACAAAATAGATGATTTTCAAAAAACTTACTCTTGAATTTACTATTAATCAAATTCTTGGGTTAACAAACCCACTGTAAACATATCAGTATTGTATTTAATCAATTATGATTCTTTTTTTACTGAAATGTTAAGCAACGTAGTGGAATGGTTAAAAGCATGGGCTTTGAAGCAAGACTACAAAGGAAAGAATTTTCCCATTAGTCGTATAACCTTCAGCAAGGGATTCAACCTCTTCGTGCCTCAGTTTCTTCTATAAATGGAGACAATAACAGAACCTAACTCAAAGGATATTGTAAGCATCACATGAGTAAATATAAGTAAAATACCAAGACCATTGTTTAGTTTATACCAAGTACTTTATAAATGCTAGTATTATTCTTTACAGGGGTTCTGCTTAAATTTAACTTTAAAAAGCACTAACATAGCAAGGAAACAGTCAATAAAACTAAAAGGGAGCCTATGTAACAGAAGAAGATATCTGCAAATGTCTTATGAGATAACAGGCTAGTATGCAAAAAATCCAAAATCTACGAAGAACTCATGAAATTCAACACCCAAAAAAATAAAAAATCAAGAAATGGGTAGAAGACATGAATAGGTATTTCTCCAAAGAAGACAAACAAATGGCTAACAGACACGTGAAAAAGTGCTCAACATCACTCCACATCAAGAAAATACAAATCAAAACCACAATGAGATACCACCTCACACCGCCTAAAATTAACAACTCCAGAAACAACAGATGTTGGCGAGGATGCAGAGAAAGGGTAACCCTCTTACACTGTTGGTAGGAATGCAAACTGATTCGGCCACTCTGCAAAACAGAGTTAAAATGGAGGTTAAAAATAGAGCTGCCCTAAGACCCAGCAATTGCACTGCTATGTATTTATCCAAAGAATAAAAAAATAGTGATTCAAAGAGACACATGTATCCCAATGTTTATAGCAGCAATGTTCACAATAGCCAAAATATGGAAAGAACCCAGATGTCCATTGTCAGATGAATGGATGAAGAAGAAGTAGTATATATACATAATGGAATATTACTCGGCCATCAAAAAGAATGAATTCTTATCATTTGCAATGACATGGATGGAAGTAGAGGATATTATGCTAAGTGAAATAAGTCAGTCAGAGAAAGACAAATGCCATATGATTTCACTCATATGTGTAACTTAAGAAACAAAATAGATGAACACAGGGGAAGGGAAGGAAAAACAAGATGAAAATTAAGAGGGAGGCAAACCATAAGAGACACTGAAATCTAGGAAACAGAGTGTTGCTGGAGGGGAGGTGGGTGGAGGGAAGGAATAACTGGGTGATGGGCATTAAGAAGGGTACGTGATGTAATGAGCACTGGGTATTATATGCAACTGATAAATCACTAAATTCTACCACTGAAACTAATAAAAAAAATAAAAAATGATCCTACTTGAAAGATGCATTCTAATAAAAGTTGCAAAAAAAAAGAAAGAACATAAAGCACATTCATCTTTTAACAAGAATAATTTGGATAAAAATCACATTCCATTTTTGAATCACTGGAAAAAATTATTCAAATTTCCTCATAAGGCTTATTAAATCAAATGTCTCTTCCTATGTTGTCTTCCTGAGAGTAAATTTAGAATAGATAACTACTTGTTATATTTGAAATAGGGGGAAAATAATATTTTACACTAAAAATAATTGTATTGCCCTATCTTATAAGTCTTACAATTCACATTCTCACATTACTTGTGAAAAATACTGCCATTCTCTCACATCTCATTCTAAAAACAGACTTTTAAGTGTTGAACATAACAAACAATAAAGAGTTAATTTCATTAAATGCTTACCATGTGTGAGGCTTCATATATCAAACCAGTTCATCTTCACCACTCTATGAAATAGATACCATTTTTACCCCACTGTACAGGAAGGACCCAGAGAAGTTAATTATATCGCCCAAGTCATAGAACCAAGATTCCAATGTGGTCTGATACTCCAGAGCCCTCCCTCATCATCACCTTGTGTATTTCCTCACTACTCACTGAACTTCTACAGAGCTTCATGATCACACCAAAGAGGCACATGATATTCCCCAGGTCATGGCTGGAAATTAAAACTCCAGAATCTTATCATTTCCTGATAGAATATTCCTGTATGCTAAGTGGGCTTCCATCAGTTGGTCTAGGATATCTAGAAATGTATACTAAAGAAACAACTGGCAGTGTAGTTAATGATTTAAAAGAAGGCTGTTTATCAACAGGAAGTACACAAGAAAATGCGTATGATATGATGTTAAGTGAATAAAAAGGTACGCAATATGTTCTGAACTATAAATAAAAATATATGCTTAGAGAAAAGGCTCCAGGGGCACCTGGGTGGCTCAGTGGGTTGAGCCACTGCCTTTGGCTCAGGTCGTGATCTCAGGGTCCTGGAATTGAGTCCCGCATCAGGCTCTCTGCTCAGCAGGGAGCCTGCTTCCCTCTCTCTCTCTCTGTCTACCTCTCTTCCTTCTTGTGATCTCTCTCTGTCAAATAAAAAAAATAAAATCTTAAAAAAAAAAAAGACTACAAAATAACAACAGTAAGTAGTAGATTCAATATTTACCATGTGCCAAGGTCGGGGCGCCTGGGTGGCTCAGTTGGTTAAGCAACTGCCTTTGGCTCAGGTCATGATCCTGGAGTCCTGGGATCGAGTCCTACATCGGACTCCCTGCTCGGCGGGGAGTCTGCTTCTCCCGCTGATCTCTCTCTCCTCTCATGCTCTCTCTCTCTCTCTCTCTCTCTCTCTCAAGTAAATAAATAAAGTCATTACCATGTGCCAAGGTCTACTAAAGACTTTTAATGCATTACCTCACAACAATCCTATAAGGTAAATTCTATCATTATCCCCAAATTATAGAAGAAAAAGCTGAAACATAGAAAGGTCAAGTAACTTTTAAAGACAAATAACCAGTTGAAAGGAGTCGACTCAAATCCAAGATGTGTCTGACTTCAGAGTCCCTCCATTACCTTCCTTACACAGTTATTATCTCTAGATGATGAGATTATGGATGATTATTTTTGCTTTTTGTTTGGTTGGTGTTTCGGATTTTCAAGATCTTTTCAGAAGTATGATTTGCTTTTATAATCAGGAAAAACCATTGTTGAAAGACAAAAATTTGAAAACATGTATAAAGTAATTGGTGAAGATAAATCTGTAAATCTGATTATGTTCCATGCTTGCTGGTCATTGTATTTCCTTTAACTTTATGTTGACAAAGCATTTTCCTTTTGTATCCCTTTGCCAGAGCATAATAATCCAAGTGACCTACAATAATAATCTTTCTCTACATAAATGGCAGTTTTACTTAAGGTTGCCACCGCCTCCAGGACTATTACATTAAGATGATGAATCAGGAAATTTGCACAAGTAGGCTGGTGAGTTAGTCATTTCCCATTAATAATGAAAACAATGTATTCTAATTTTTCAAAGGCTCTAAGATGAATTTTTATTTATTTAGTGTTGATTTGTATAAGAAATACGATGTGGTACTTTATGAAAGGCAAATTAAGTAACTAAATAAAATATTTGTATATACAAACATTTTTTAATTTATCTTAAAACATTTTCCAACCTCCCAAATAATCAATCACTTTGATAATAATTCCTACTAAGTGTCTATAAGATATCAGGTTACTACATAGCACCGGCTTATCTGTTGTATTTTATTTGACCTAATCAATACTGATTTTTCCCTCCAAACCAGAAGTGAAGAAATTGATCTGCTATTTTAAATCATATTACCTTCTGATAATTCATAGCATATATGCTATTGAATATTAAATTCAAACCATCCGTTTGCCTAAAAGCAAGTTTTTCATTTCAATATTAAGACCCATAGCGATGACCAGATCTCACAGAATCATGTTGTATTCAGTCTCCTATTTCTAAAAAGGAGGATCTTGAATAACCTGAGATAGCATTTTGGCCATTTCTTTTTGAGTCATAAAAAGTGAATGCAAAATAGACTTTAAAGTTTTCAAATCTTGCTTTGTGTTTTTTCTAGAAATAAGTTGTCTTCTGAAAATAGATATAACACCTTTCGTATCAAGATTGATTTCTCAGGACATATTTTTTTATTTTTTTATTTAGATTCAAGTTAGTTAACATGTAGTATATTATTAGTGTCAGGGGTAGAACTTAGTGACTCATCAGTCACATGTAACACCCCGTGCTCATTACATCAAGTGTCCTCCTTAATGCCCATCACCCAGTTACCCCATTCCCTACAACCCCCTCCTCTCCAGCAACTCTCAGTTTGTTCGCTATAGCTGAGTCTCTTATGGTTTGCCTCTCTCTCTGTTTTTATCTTATTTTTTCTTCCCCTCCCCTATGTTCATCTGTTTTGTTTCTTAAATTCCATATATGAGGGAAATCATACAGTATTTGTCTTTCTCTGGACAGCTTTAAAATCTAAAATTCTTAAAACTCTCTAACATCTTCTATTTTGGCAAACAAATTTACTTATTAGAAGTTCTAAAATTGGGGCGCCCGGGTGGCTCAGTGGGTTAAAGCCTCTGCCTTCAGCTCAGGTCATGATCTCGGATTTAGGGATCGAGTCCCGCATCGGGCTTTCATCTCTGCAGGGAGCCTGCTTCCCCCTCTCTCTCTGCTTGCCTCTCTGCCTACTTGTGATCTCTCTCTGTCAAATAAATAAAATCTTTAAAAAAAAAAAAAAAAAAAAAAGAAGTTCTAAAATCTCCCTCCCCGCAAAAAATCAGCTATCATCTGCCTTCCCCTCCATATGACTCTCCCACATCATATAAACAATATTTTCTGCCTTCATGTGGTCCTAAATGATAGCATCTAAACTAATGAAAAGTGATCATACTTCTAATCCCTCAGAATGGCAATTCTTTTAAGAGTCTTGACTGTCTCCTTCCTAGAGAATGAAAACTATACACCATTGAGATTTAATCTTAAA